ACGAATAGCTCCTCATGCCAAGGTGTTTCCCGGTGATTGAAGATGTAAACACGTCCTATCATTGTCACGCTCGCAGTGGAAAGAGAAGAACTTCACAGACTCCTCCAGAGGAAGTGGACCCCTGAGACATCTGTCACTAGGGCTGGATGATAACAAGAGTATTGGAGTGCGGTAGCCACTATTGCTCAAAGGTCCTGCAAGACGCTCCGCTCCGAGCGCAGCATGTTACGCAAGAAGTGAGTTGCGTGAAGTGCCGAAAAAGTCCCATCCGTACCTTCTCGCCGATGCCATGCCTGACGGGGTTCCGCGGAAGGAAGAGGAGGAAAGAGATGGGTTTTTAGTCGGGTAGGTGTAGGCTAGGCTATGAATCCCACACGCTTGCGGGTTGCGGGCCCCGCCAGGTCTTTAGAAGATTTCCCCTGCCCCCGTTAAAAACACACAACGCGCGCGCGCGCGCGCACGCACACACAACACACACACACACACACACACACACACACACACAGCACACACGCACCATCCCATTTAATTACCGAACTACAGACAACACTGTATCTTGTATAGACTTCATCTTCAGTAAAGTTGATGCTAGCTTTGAAATTCCTCTTCTATTCCTCACTTGTAAATATAACTAATCATTATGCCACATTACCACATGCAAATGTGAATATCAAAAGTAACCTTGAAAATAATTAAAAAATCAGGAAGGTAAAGTAAATATGCACATCTCAACTGCTAAGTTTATACAGTAACTAAGAGTGGTGAGGTAGGAATGTATAATGAAAAAGATGTAAATAATGACATAAATATTTTTATTATCTACCACAATTCAAAATCATATTGAAAAATCTAAATTGAATATGAATAATGAAAAAGGATCCAAGCAAGAAAAGAATGGATTACTGTTGATCTAATTGAATCATATAAAGTGAAAGATAATTTGTGTAATTAATAGAAGTGCAGTCCTCATATCAGAAATACGTATCTTCTGTATTATGAAAATAAACTACAGTGTTAATTATTATAATGGTATTATAAATAGTTTGTTTGGCAACATGAAAGAACTCTGGATTTTGTCAATAAAAAACTTGATATTACTAGATAGTAGTCCAAAAATTACATATATAGAGAAAATACTTTCTGTTGAAACTAATACTTATGTATATGGTGATAAATCTATTGCAAATGAAATAAATATATTTTTTAACAATATAGGAATTAAGATGTCAAAAAACACGAGGATATATATTAATTTAACGTGATTTTATGTGACATTACAATACAAAATACTTTATTTTTATGTCCTCTCTACCTTATGTCATATCCTATAGAGTTAGAAATATCTGATATAATAAAAAATATGAATATAAATAAATCATCAGGAGTTGACAAAGTGAATAAAATGAATACCATATTATAATTTTTTTTGTTAGTTTAATAAATGTATAGATTTTTAAATTTTTCCTGATCGGTTCAAATATGCTGAGATAGCACCAATTTTTAAGGTTGGAAATAGGAAAATTTCAAGTTTTTTACAGTTCAATTTCTCCCACCAAATTTTGCCAAAATATTTGAAAAAGTTATGAGAAATAGATTTGCCAGCTTCTTAAAAAAAAATAATAATAAATTCTATGCAATTTGGGTATCAAGAAAATAAAAGTACTGAAGATGCCACAAGTGTGAGAAACCAAATTAATAATGCAATTAATAGTACACCTTGCAAATCGATTCATTTGAACCTGGCTAAAGCTTTCAATAGTCATCAAATTCCCCTACACAAATTAGAAAAAGTGAGTTTCAGAAGAAATGCTTATAAACTAATGGAAAGTTATTTAACCAATAGAAAATAACCTGCAAAATTATGGAAGTATGGAATAAAATTTTGTGTTTAAAAAGTTACACAACGATTTTTCACTTTCAGAATCATGTAGTTTTCCGTGATTTCAGCATAGAAATGAGTTATGAAAGGAGTAAATAGAAATGGGTATATCTACATCCAATATAACCTCTATAACTAATAATAATTAAAAAAAAGGTTTCAGATACTATTCCCCAGAACAAATGTTTAAAATTATGAATCTATATCTAAAAACGAATACTTTTCTCGTAGTTTGATAATTTTAAAAATATATGAAATATGAGGTTTTGAATTTTGAAAAAAAATTGACTTTTTTCAAAAATCCGCCATTTTGACAGGTAGAGACGCAAAATTTTCATTTGAAAACATCATAGATCGATTCGTCGGTAAATTTTCATACAGAAAACATATATTTTGGTGCATTTTGTGTGAGAAATTGAGTTATAATGTGTAAAACAAGTTAGGTATGTCTAAAATCACACCTTATCTCCATTAAAAAAATATAGCACTTGTAAAACAGAAAATAATTATCGTAGAGGGCTGAAACTTTGGATATAGATTCTCTACAACAAATTTAAAAAAGTAATAATAGTTTTTAAAAATCTGATATGGTCGGGTGTCATGTCGTGCTGAGTTCGCATGGAATTACCCATACACAAAACCAATCGCATGCGATAGAGGTTGCTACATTGTTTAGAAGAGCTGTTGCACATATTGTGTTGCTTCCATTAATTAGTATTCTAGGTACAATATTAAAAGAACTACTAGGTTGGCTTACACTGAGTTCGTGCGTTTTCGTTCATAAATTTAGTTTAAACAAATCAGATGTTACACCGAACAATGCAATGTCAAGCAAACGAAAACACAGCTCTGTACATTAAAAGAAAAACTCTGCTTTAAAAAAGTGAAGAAAGTGCTTTAGTGGCTTGACAATGGGGAAAGTGCTACAAAACAGTAGTTCAGTTCTACAGTAATTATAAAATCCTTACTTAAGACTACAAATAATAATTTTATTTATTTTGGTTGTATTTTCCTCCATGTTAAATCTTGTTCGGATTATGGGGTTTCTAATCTAATTTCGGATTGGTGGGGTTCTACTGTATGTTCTAGGGTGCATGTCTGGTGTTTAGACAGTGGTGACTTGATAAAGTGTAAAATACTTACGAATTTTTAAATCAGTACTGCTATCAATATTACGCAGAGATTAAATGAAAACTTTGATATATATTCCGGTTATGTGAAAGAGTTTATTGTTTCCTTAGATACCCATAACTCGGAAAAATATCCGAAACCAAATATCCAAATATATTTCTAATTTTCAATGCGGCCAGAAACTGAAAGAAAACTACGCGTCCTCCAACCAAGTCAAAAGGTTTTCTTAGATATCCAGGAACTCTGTAAAAATCCAAAAACTTCTTTTTTATCCTGCAGCATTTTTATTGCTGTAGGCCACTAGCCCGCGGTAGCGTGTCGCCTTCTTAACGTGGGAGAAAGAGATAAGAGCTAAAATCTGTGGATCTATTGCCGATGAAATATTTAACACGGTCACGAATATTTTTTGTCAAGATTTAACAAAAACGTTATTAAAAATTGTATGAAGTCTAAAAGAGCAAAAGCGAGGCTGGAAATTCCGGAGCTAAATCTCAATCAGGTTTTTGTATAGTTTCCCTGATCCATTGAGAAAATGCTGATGTGGTCTCATGTTTTGCCTCTGGTCATAAATGTAGCTTCATAATGATTGAACTTCTCTACATTACACAGTTTTAACTGTTTTTAAATGTTCAATACATAAAAAATGGATTCTCGGCAACATCAGGTGCATCAGTAACACATGATAAACGATTTTCCTTATCTCAGCAAGAAAACAACTTCTAAAGAAGTGCTGATTGCCGATTACTTCATGGAACAGCTTCGAGAAAAAATACACAAAGATACATTAGTTACCTCTGACAATTAGTTTATTAATATCTCTCTTGTGAAAACTGCGAAAATCATGGGTGGCAGATGTGGGGTAACATAAAGAAAAGAGAAGTAGCACTTGATTAAACAGGGGAGACCAGAAATGATTGTCTAATGTAATATTCCATACAGTGGTATCCTTCTCACATTGCAGACTATAAAAAACGTATTTCAGTTACATACGTTTATTTTTTATCTTGTATAAACAACGTTTCGCGACCAAATTGACGTAACCAAATGGGTCGCGAAATTGGGTAAAAATGGGACCAAGTGAGCCGCGAAACGTCGTGGCTTATGCAAGATAAAAATAAAAATGTATAACTTAAAAAGAATTGTTTTGACAGTCTGCAATATGAGAAGGATACCATTGTATGGAATAATATCAAACTATCTTCTGAATTTGACCAGAGATTAGATACTTGGAAACATGAGTATTCCCTTGTTCTTTGTTTGCTGAATACATTACAGTAGTTTCTAAAAGCAAAGGATATATAAGCTTGATACACAACACTTCTTGTTTCCAGCATTTAAAAAAACTAAAGGCTTTGGGATTCTTTTCGTTTTGTCATTCCCTACAGACAGAAGAAGCTGATCCAGTGTGGCAATACAACCTGCGGCGAAGTAGATTCTTTCATAAAGTATTTCTATATCTTGAATATGCAAATGATTAATCTGATGTCCAAGTTCATTTAGTAAATGTTAGCGATAATTTATATTAAAACCTATCACAAAATACATCTTGTTTATGTGAATTTTACGTTCGCATTAAGTTTGGGAAAATGTGCATTAGTTTTCTAGGGCTAAATAGGTATCACATTTTCGGAATTAAAAATTAGTTTCTCATTGTTTAGTCGCTTACAAAATATATCGTTCTCTTAGTATCGTTTCAGCCAGTTAGGGATTTCTTAGTATTTTGAACTTTTCTTTGACCCTAAGTGTAAAGTAAAATGCGAGACCTTTCAGAAATTCACAAAATCTAATCCGAGAGTAAACTAAATACAACATTCGAAAGCTCAACATCAAAAAACTTACCTCATTTATGTTTTACGGGTTTCGAGGGAAAGACGTTCTAATTGTGCAATGTCAAACGTTTCCAGGATATCACTGCACACACTGCTACTAGCCTATCCGAGATTTAATACGCCAGAAAAACACTTAAGAACATCCAAACCACAATGCTTACCTTTGCTTCACGTTGAAGTAATCTCGGCAGGCAAACCAGAAGATGCGTGACGTTGCGATTCCATCCACTTGCGCAACTTCAGTGTCCCTACCTCCTCTTCCGTCAGAGAACACACTGCCCTGCTGTTAGCGAAGGAACCCTAATATATACGATTGAAACACTCGAGATGTTGAAGGTCGCGCCTTTCGTATGTTCCTAACTCGCTAACGCCACCTATTGGATGAAGGAGGCACCTCGCAAGTGAAGAACCGTGACCGGTCAAAATCCGTAGTCTGAGAGACTGAGTCGACCAATTAGATTCTCTTACGAGCACATCCCTATCAACGCCCTCTATGAGCAGCTGAATGAGGAACGCTTTCCAGCTAAGCAATATCATGAACACGACCTCCAGGTTACATCACATTTACGTAACAAATTTAACACGTAACTACACTGCATGGGCACGCCTAAGCTGCCCACTTCACCTACCGCTCAAATTTAACAATGGCTAAATTCAGAATCTTTAAATTATATACATTTCTTTAGTCCTTTGCCAAAAGGGATTAACTTTCCTGTAAACAAGACCTTATTGTAATAATTTGGTGAACTGGACACTGAAGGGAAGTACCCTACTTGGTGGTAGGAAATTAAGGGACAAACCATTTGAACAGCTTTCTGAAATTTAATTTTTTCACAATACATTACATTAAAATTAAACTTTGCCACTCTTCAACCGATTACAAAGGCCAGGTTTCACAAAAATGACCTGCCAGGAATGGAAATGACGGAATGAGCACTGTAGCTTTACAGCTGAGGAACTAGCTCTGTGCTTAACTAGTTTTCCTTTCTATCATTCATACAAAGCTGTTACTGTTCACCCTGAACAGAATTGATCACTGATGGAATGTTTGAAACAAATACTACAAAATTTATTGTACTCCTAGCCTATCAGGGCTTTAAGCTCATCATACAGCACCAACACTAGAGCACCACCAGTGCCTCTGAGGACATTCGAAAAGGCACCCTTGAAAAATGCACCACCACCCTCTTGCTTAGCTATCTTCGCCCAGCAATCTAATGTGTTCTTGTACATGATATCAGCCTTAGCACGACCAGACTGCATCATCATGCGCCGTCTCACAGTATCAAAGGGATAAGATACAATTCCAGACATAGTTGTCACAGCCTGTAAAGATTATCACTTGTTATACATCTGAATTTGAGCATTAGATTACTTGACATGCATTTGATATCAGAAGAACATTTACCAACTTCGCATCAACTTACCTGCGCAATGGCAAATGAAATAATGAAAGGTGTATTCTTGGGGTCAGGCAACATTCCCTTGGCTGTGTCAAAACAACCAAAATAAGCAGCACGGTAGATAATAATACCCTGCACAGATACACCAAATCCTCTGTAAAGACCCATAAGGCCATCAGACTTGAAAGTCTTGGCAATGCAGTTGCCCAATCCAGTGAACTCTCTCTCAGCCCCAGCTTTTCCTACATCAGCTGCTAATCTGAAACACCACACTGACACTCAGCATCGATTTAACAAAATTTTAAATTTTATTCACTTAGTTTTACTTACCTTGTTCGAGCGAAGTCTAGTGGATACACAAAACAAAGTGAAGTAGCTCCAGCGGCACCTCCAGAAGCTAAATTTCCAACGAAATAACGCCAAAACTGGGTTTTCTTGTCTACACCTCCCAAGAAAATTTGCTTGTACTTGTCCTTGAAAGCGAAGTTCAACGCTTGAGTAGGGAAATACCTGAAGAGAGGATGTAAGTTTTAAGGTCGTAGCAGAAATACCTTAATCAGATCTTAATTCTCGTATCAATAATACCTTATCACATTCGCCAGATTGCCTCTCCAGAAACTCAGGAAACCTTGCTCTCTGGGAATACGGACGAAGCAATCTACCATTCCTGCAACAATCATACAATTAGCGGACTACTCGACGTGGTCAACTATTCAAATTAACCGTTATTAACCTTCACAATTATTAACACAAACCAATTCAAGAATTATTAATAAGTTGTAGGTTATTTCACGAGAACATTAAACCCATTCCTACATTAATGATATTTAACTGCACAAACTTGTGAGACTTAACCAACACATACCACAAGCAAACGTACACGACTCAATTTTTACATATTTATACATTTCGATGATATATTCACAAAAACATGGCAAAATGGCTAGAGTACGTACCTTTATACTGTTGCTCCTTGGCAATTTGCTTAGATGCATGCTGTACTTGTAACAGAAGTTTCACACGCTCAATTGGCGCAACAGTAGTTTTTGACACTGCGGCAGCAATACCACCGGCAAGAAAATCTTTCATAAACGACATCGGATCTGTAAGCGCCATGGTTGCACGTTGTTCGCTGATCGACGGGCGAAAGAGGAAGAGAACGGCACAGCACAATCTTCACTACATTACCTCTCACTCGGGAACACTCGATGACGTCATTCGTGTTCTACCAATTGGAAATGTCCTTTCTAGTGACGTCAAGCATATTTGGCGTCAATGCAGCTGTTACTACTTTAATAAAATTTATACATGCTACATGAAATTTCAGGCGCAATACTATTATATATTGCTAGATTTAATAACATCGAAATTATTAATAATGAAATTATCAATTCCAAACACTCAGCGAATTGCAACTTCTAAAGCATTTTCACTTCGACGTCCATCAATATAGAGCTAATGTACGAAGTGAAATATAAATATTCCTTGACATAAATATTTTTAAGTTTTTAAAGCTTGGAATATAATCTATAAAGCAGTTTCCATAATCAGTATTTACCTAGAGTTTGACCTTCATTAATTATATAATGCCGATACTGATTTCGCATTTAAACTCTTATCTGGAATTACTAAAACACTGAAATGCGAAGAATAAAACGTTTTTGGATGTTCTCAGAAACTTCAGACAGATGTTTTGAACTCATTTCAATCCAAAATTGGAAGTATAGAACTCTCATAATTTATTTAAAGAATATCTTTAAGATTGCTATTGTAAATATCGAACCGATTTTCTTTCCTATTAGAGAATGAGTAGGCCCATCAAACTAATTGATGGAAGAACTCTGTCATTATGCAACTTTTAAACATTTTTCAAAATATTTGGAAAATACACCTTTCAAAAGATTCACAAATGGAAAATAATTAACTAAATCTACCTTTATGAAACACCAACTTAACAAAAATGGGTAACCTATGTATGCTTTTGAGCACTAAGCTGAACTTCAGCTCATTGAATTGTCAGGTGTATTTCAAATCATTGGTATACCACTACCTGCTATAATGGTTAATCACTCATATTTAAATTTATTATAATCTTGATTTAATTTGATTACATAGGATGTTTTCTTCTCAGGGGTGGATCCTGCTGATCATGGAAGGGATCGTAATTTTTAATAATTAACATTTGTGATTATATTGTATATTATTTCTGTGGCCTATATGGCAGCATACAATATTTTTTTAAATAATTACATAGTTCTTATAGACCAATTTCCCAAACAAAAAAAGTAGGCCAGCCAGAGAGAGAGAGAGAGAGAGAGAGAGAGAGGGGGGGGGGCGCGCGTCACTGATTCTTCAACTTTTTACAAAATTTCAGGACTTTCCTTGCAAATTATGACCCATTTGTCTAAATATTTCTTTTAAATAACTCTTTCTCTTCAATAAATTTCCGACACTGTAATGGTGTACTAATCATTAACCAATTACCTAACAATCAATACATTCCACTTGGATTTACATTCTGTTGAAGGAGTAACAACTTCCACTTTATTAGTCTCGATTTCCATTTCTACTATGTTACTAAAACATGCAAGAACAGCACATAACAGGAAAAATAAAACACCACACTTTTTATAGGATTTATTTAGCTGAGCAACACAACTATAGGACAGAGTGAATATCTGGTATATAAAAATACATTTCTGTATGTAACGTAAAAACTAACTGAAAATCAAATGCAGTACAACTTGAATCTAGTTTAATGCTATGTACAGCATAGCTGTTCATCTAGAAATATTCTCTTACAGTATGTTACCAGTATCACTATACAAAAATGTAATGATTATCAAATAATGAAAGAAATTTTCAGATTGGTTTTCTTTTTTTTCTTTTTCTTCTTCCTTTGTTCAAAAGAATTCCTCTCACAGTTAATTAGATTATTTCAAAGTATGCAACAAATATTCATTAGACATGGATCTTAAAAATACTAGTTTAAGAAACAAATTTAAAACATACCACCATGCAGTGTTAAAACACTTTAAAAACACATCATGCATAAATTATTTATAGTTTCTTTTTGAGTCTCCAACTTTACAAATATACTGATTACCCTTTTCAATTTTTTTAAAGATTAACCACTAGCATTGTTGCTTCGTAGTATGAAATTGAAAGAACATTTAAAAACCTATTACCTCATTAAATATACATTATATGAAACAGATTAAAAAACAAACCACATGAAAATTCTGGAAAACATCTATAGGGTATATTTTACAAAATAATAAAGTTTGAATTAACCGTATAAAAAATTTAGCAATTAAAATTAACGAAACAGAAACTCAAGATCATACTCATCACAATTTATCTACTGGTCACAACCCTCACAGAAATATTTCTGTGGTTGACCATATGCAATGTCCCTGAATTCAACTACCCAGCCAGTTCCTAAATCTAATATTCTATGGGCCCCATCAGTATTAACACTGCACTTTTTGTCTAAAGGTCATTTATCTGAATTTTTCCAAAGTGGCAATAGTTTATAAACCTGTAAGGTCATAAATGTGTGATACATGGATACAAAATATGACTCTATTTATATAAGCTCTAAGAGTCTTTCATCAACAGTGGTCCAACATTAACATGAGACGATTAAATCATGTTTCACAATAGCTACCAAGGAACCTCATATTATTTACCTTTCAATATTATGTTAACACTACTAAGTCTCCATTTAGGCTTGTCTCATGTTTTAATGGCTATTCTATTAATTATTAGTGACATGGGAATCGGGTTCCATTAGCTCCCTGGTGTATCCCCCCATAGAAATGTAACATGGATATACTAAATTAATCGAAAATCCATCACAACATTTCTGGCCTTTTTGAGAGCTTATGAGCATTCATTTAGTGACAATTCACAGCACAAAAAGTGGTACGCATGGATTCAGATACAGCCTGACCACATGACCAAGCCAAATTGCAATATTTGTAAGTGACCAAGACAGCTCACAGCACTGGCTCCTTTTCAGCGACTTTAAATATATTGGAGAGTTCATCTACAAGAGTTTCATAGCGGAAGGCTACTCTGATATCTGGTACATTGGTACGGGTGATGTCATTGCCAGCCACACCTTCTTTTGTGTAATTCGGACCCAGCCAATACTGCTTCATCTGCACAGATTCACAAAAAAGTTATGACAAAATCAGGAGAGTTTTTATAACTGATTACCATTTAAAAAATGAAGTGGTAGCAAAAGATGGAAACTGAAGCTCAATGGCATTAAGATTTTCAAATTTACCTTGTGTGGAAAGCCACTCATGAGTACACTGTTTCGAGCAAGTTCACACATGTCACAAGAACTGAGTTTCCACACCTGAGCTGCAATACTATACTCTTCCATTAGTGGTTCCTGCAATGAGTTATTTATTGCAAGTGAAATTCACAAAAGAATTATAATAGTTTAAATGAAAAAAATTCAAAACACTATCAATACTAACTGTAAGTGTATATACAATTTCTAAATAATTTTAATTAAAGATAAAATATGTTACACAGAATCTCTAGAATAGTAACTCAATATTCATTCATCCTGAATATTTTAAAAATAAGAAATTTTATTATTTGTTTAGTCGGCAAGAGTAGAAACTACTTTTTTAGCTACACTAGGATTATATTAATTAGGGGAAATTTAGAAAACTTTTATATTAACACAAAAAATCACAAATGTAATGAAAGTGATTGAATTTTCAAAAATAACTATTCAATGTCAATGATATTTTGTGTATTGATTCTCTATATATGTGTATGGTTCTTTTCACTCTCAAAAGGCAGAAAAAGTCAATGATAGAATGGTCCTAATTGGTTTTTGTGATTACAGTATTGCTTTCTGTGTTTTCATTCTGTTTCCTCTATTTTTGTAAGTTAGCTCCAAATGACCAGCAAGGGTTCTCTGCAAAAGGTGGCAGACTATGTCACTATTTACTAATTGGAATTGAACGCAATGTTTCCTCCCTCGACCTGTGTTACAATACCAACCTAACAAACCTCATTACATAAAAACATACAACCTATTTACATGAAAACGTGTAACAAATATCACCAAACCAACTGGCGTTATATTTATAATCTCAAACTTTTAAGGCAATTAGGAAAATCACTCTGGACGTCCAATGTCATGACAAAGCACTGTTTTTTGGCCAATGCTATTAACATTAAACCTCAAGTTGATCCAAATCATTTGACATTGACTGTTATTAGGCACAAGTCTTTTTTGATGACATCACTATAAAAATCTCTTTTCATTTTCTACAATATTCACTAAGCTCACCCAATTCATTGCTATTATAATCTGTGTTGTGCACCTCAATCAACGCATAGTTGTAAAAACAACTAATGAAAACTTACAATTACAAGTTTGGCAACAGATTTCATCAAATAAAGCATGAATGTTGTATATAGTCCCAACTAGTAAAGAACAGAATACCACCATGCTAGAAAAGGCATCTTCTTGAGAGTGAAAAATAAGTTTTGGAAATTATAACCTTATTTTTTTTAAATAATTATTTTTGATTGGGGGGGATTTTTACATGACACAATCAATTTAACTTTGTGTAAAGTACATTAACTTTGTGTCAGCCTTTAAAATAGTCTAAAGCAATGCATAATACACTGTCATTTAGTGCTATATGCCTATTGATAACCTTGAACAGACCAAGACCATTATTTAATAGAGAGTAAAATTAAATCATTATACAAGAAACAAAAATTAAGGAAAATAATTAAAAGAACAGTAACTAAACTCGAAGGAATTTGTAATAATGACAACAATAATAATATTTTATCGAGTCACATGTTTTATATATTTTTATTGAGTTGCAATTGTGTATGATGTGTCAATATGATGTCTTGGGTGCAGAGAGTGAAGATACATTACTGATCAGAAGCAAAACAAGCGTCCATCTCAGCATTTGCTCAAATAATCAGGGAATCTGGACAAAAAACCTGATCGATATGGGGTCATTAACCTAGGAATTATACTAGAATACTTGTTACAGATAGATTAAGATTTTATACAGTAAATAATAATTTAGCATTTCAAGATTTACTTTAAACATGAAACAGTACAAAGTAAAATTTACATGCTATTGTCTACTGTGCTACTACTTATAATAATAATAATAATAATAATAATAATAATAATAATAATAGTATACGATATCAACTAGGGTAACTACATATAATTTTACAACATTAGTACATTCAATGTTTAGATCTTGAAATGGTGAGGATTAAGGTTTGGCCAGGTTTTTGCTATATCTCAACCTAGTGCTACTGCAGCACCTGAAATGAGATATTTCTTTAGAAGATGAAAGTATCAAGATACTATGTGAAAGAATATTGAAAGAAAAACTACAGAAGGTGGAGAAACAAAATATTGATACATTTTGAACTTCTCTTCAGCAGTGATAGAAGCACAAAAAGTGAGTGTAGACTATAAATCATTTAAGAAAAATAAGTGGTTGAGAACATGAGACAATAAACCAAAGTTGCAAGCATAGACGACTTACTATTTCCAAAAATGAACAGTGACAAACTACATGGAGTATAAAAGACGGAGCCAATATGACAAACCCAGTTTAATATACAGAAGAGAAAACTGGAGAAAATTTGATAAATGTTCAGAATGTTGTCTTGGGTCCTCAATAAAAGAAATTCAAAATTTTGAAACAACAAATTCCTTCACATGAAAGTAAAAGATATCAGACTAGATTGGTTACAATCACAAAAAAACAGGTTTAAATGCTACTTCCTCTGCACAACAATTCAACACTAAAAAATTATTAAAAGCTAAAAGTAACAAATCACACTAATGACAATGATGAGTTAGTCACTCAAACATAGAAGAACTTGTAACAGTAATAAGAAAAGCAAGAAGTAGAAAAAACTCTTTGGGCTGAAACCAATAAAGAGATCATAAGACACGAAGAGAAGGAACTACATGTGCAAAGTAAAAGTAAAATGTACATGTTATTGTCATTTTACTGCTACTAATTAACTATTACTATTATTATTATTATTATTATTATTTTATTTATTTTTATATTATTATTATTATTATTTTATTATTATTATTATTATATACTATTATATTATTATTATTATTATTATTCTATATATTATTATGATGACTTTGATTATTATTATACTATTATTATTATTATTATTATTATTACTATTATATTTACTATTATTATCACATTACTATTATTATTATTATTATTATTTATTATTATTTATTATTTATTATATAACAAAAAAAATCATAACAATAATGACAATAATAATAATTAAATGTTCATCCACTAAAAGAATGATAACAATGATTTAACAAAGTATGGCAAGAGAAAAAAATATCAATAGAATGGTAAGGGGATTAGTTAAAAGGCTCAAGGAAGATCTGCAACAATTGTAGGGATATCACATTGGTGTCAACATCAACTAAGCTATATGCAAACATGCTGATGAACAGGTACAATGAATTAGTGAAAATTTCATGGGAGAAGAGCAATGTAGGTTTTGAAAGGGAAGAAGCTCTAAAGATGCCATCTTTACATTCCAGATGTTAATAGAAAAAAAGGAGAGTAATCTACTAACTTTTATTGTATTTATTGATTATTAAAAGACATTTGACAAAGTAACCAATTATACACACTGGGAAACTCTTGAACTCTAGAATTAAAATTCTATTAAGAGAATGAAGAAAGTCAGCTGCAATAACAACCAGCAGCAGATGAAGGTATGGTTGTGGATTATCATCCACCCTCTAATTTGTAGTATATTCATCACGAAGTGAGAAAACAAAGAAGGAAAGCTAACCAGAGAATCCAAACCAAAAAAGACAAAACGGTAGGTACCATCTTGTATGATAATGGCCTAGCTATGATAATGGATGCCAAAAATGATTTCTAAAGAGAAGTTTTCGAAGAGACTAAAGTGGCACAGGAATACTCTATGAAGGTAGCAGTCCAGAAAACAAAAGTTATGGCAATATAAGGCAAAGAAAAAAGGGGAGCCAAAATGTAATAAATGGAAAATTAGTGGTACAAGTACATACATTTTCATACCTACGAAATATTAGTTTGCTTATTCAAATTCAAGACGACATATAATAATGAAATAACTGCAATAGAATTTGCAGAATAATTAAGACACATTGGCAGAGACATGGATCCCAAAACAAAACAAACCCACTAGAAAGCACAAAACCTAGAATAGTGTATGGTTCTGAAGCATGGATAATGAAAGAGAAGGACAATCAAAACTACAAGCAACACATCTAGACTCCTAAGAAAACTCATTGAATGACAAGAAGAAATAAGGATATTAGAAAGAAATTGAAAGCCAAAGGTAAAATAGAAGAAATAGAACACATCTGCAAGAAAAGGAAGGGTCACTTGATAAGAAAGAACAACAACAGCAGCAGCAGCAGCAGCAGCAGTAGCAGCAGCAACAACAACAACAGTGACAACAACAACAGCAGCAGCAGCAACAACAACAACAGTGACAACAACAACAGCAGCAGCAGCAACAACAACAGTGACAACAACAGCAGCAATAATAATATTGTCTTGGTTTGTAATTATAGATTTATTTTGGTGAAGATCTAGAAGACCACAAAAGAAACAGCAATAGCAAGAACACTTTGAAGACTTTACTGCTAACAGAATACTGTAGTAAACCAAAAGAAACGGGTTGTAAAGCCTAATTTCTCGACAGGCGATGTCAATGAACATTAAAAAGGTGCTCAGTGTACTTTACCATTTTGATCAAGTAATATCTCCACAAGAAATACTAAAGTATTGAAAGGAATAAAAAGAGAAGGATACTACAAAAGGTATGTAACTAAGGGATATTGGCAGTTCCAAACAAGTTTATCTTTACAATCGTACAATTTTGTTAATTTTTAGAGCATTGAACAAAACTAATTTTAAATATGTAGTTTCCAAAAAAGCACAATATTACACAGATTTTTTTAACAGAGAGGTGAGGTGTTGACTTGTATGTCACCTCCCCACCCTTTCCCCAGATGGATGAGTGATGGGAGATGGTATTTGTGAAAGTTCACTTCTTACCAAAACAACAACAACAACAACAACAATAATAATAATAATAATAAAATAATAATAATAATAATAATAATAATAATAATATTGAAGCTACATGAATCTGTTTACCTATAGTCATAACTTAACACTCAACTATCCAATGTAAACTTTTGGTTTCTTTAGTGGACATTATTAACTCTCCAAAATGGAAGACAACTCTTGTATTATGTCAAGGCCCTGTACCTTAGTGAAGTGAAACTGCAGTGGATCATCAGTAGACAAACTGATGCAGAGACCTCGAGCTAAGTACTCTGGTAGAGGATTCCGATGATAATTGAGAAACAGTGAGTTGTTGCTCAAGGGTGACATAGCAATACCAATCTGTGCTAAGTAATACAGATACTGCAGAACAGGTACCTGTGAAAGAGATAATTTAATTAATTTCATAAAATTTTAATACATATACAGAAAGTACAGCTGCATTCCATGATGGCTTATTTGAATACATGCAAAATAATTTATACTGTACCTTCCTCAGAAGCAATCCATGTGAAATGTTTTCAGCCATCATAAATCCACAAACCAAATGTTGAATGGGACCAGCTTCCCCGCAATGAGGTCGGAGAACAAAAGTGTTCAATCCTTTTTCCCTGCAGATTAAAAATTCTTGAAAAATTATCATATTAAAAAACATTTCATTCTGAATAACATATTTTGGTTTATCAAAGAGGAATTGAAATTTCAAGACTGTTTAATTTGTTTAAAAAGTAATTAAGATAAATACAGTTAAAGAGCAATATTTCTTTAAAAAATAATAACAATAATCATTTTGGCATAATAATAATTTATTTAATTTTTAATGACTCAGTTGGTATTATTACACTAATTTGAAGAAGTGGATACTTAACAGGTTACCAAGAGCAATTTATAAACATAACGAAAATTTTTGCAATGAGAACTGTCATCCTTCTCTAAATTATATCAACAATATCTCAAGATGTACAAACATACAATTTCAAAGCCACTATAATGAAGATAAACTATACATGATAAAAATTGTATAACTATACATCATTAAGTTGATGGTCCTGACAGTCTATAATAATTATATTATGCAGTTAATGGTTATATGTATTATTACATATAATATTTATATTTTAACGTTAATGAAATAATTTTTAATTTACAGAATTTTAAGAGTATTAAGTGACAGAATTCTACACACTGGAAAAGTATGTGCTTTCACTTAATGAATCACAAAGAAGACAATGAAAAAATTAAGATGTCAGGGGGAGAACATTAGGATCATCTCACACTGTATGCATTAATAACGCATCACAATTATCACAATTTAAGACTTCCAACTATCACAGACCATTATCTTCCAATCCCAAACAAAAATTTGTTTATTTAGTAAATGACTAATATTCTTGATATAACCATTTACACACTACAGAAAATTCCCAAAATAAAACGTTTTTGAGCCACTTTTAGCTTCATTATTCAAAGAGGTATACAGACCTTCTGAAGTGGTTCAAAACAGTCAAGTTCGCGTACATGTAATATTGATAATACGCATATGGAGGATTTTCTTCATCAGCCCATACGTCTGGAGTAAGGACATCTTTATCAAAAAGAGGATTCTCAGGTTTGCTTTCATCATCCACAGAGTCAAAGCCAATAACCTGCAGATAACAAATTTGTAGGTTCCTTTTACTTTACTTTCCCTAATTTAAAAGCCTCCATTTCTTAATTATGTATGCACAAGTGCAAAAAGTAGATAAAATTAAAACAAAAACAAATTATTAAGTACAGGATACTTATGATATGAATGATCAGATCAAAAATGAAGCAATGTCCGACACTTACATACTTCAGGAACTTGTGAAGCTCTGGGTGACTATAGGGATCATTTGTCGCTTCAAATAATGGGTAGAAAATGTTATTTAAAATTTCCTGGAAGTTATTTAGAAGTTTGTTCGATTTGAAAATATCACTGGAAAACACAATAACAAATTTACTTTATTTTTGTTTACCTAAGATAATATCAAAATAACTTAAAATATACATACTACAAACGTGGAATCTGAATTAGCCATCTAATATTGTCCGAGTAAACATCACCATCAATTGCCCATCGGGCCAATTTATCCCATTCTTCAGGATTTTTGCCGTATATAGAGACACGGAGTTCAGCATTTTGGTACTTACTTTCTTCAAGATCTGATGCTACTTCCTGTAAATGTGAATTTTAATTTAGCATTGTTTCTTTTTTTTATTTACATAACATATGATAAACAAACTTGTCACATACCTTTATGATTCTTGCAAAGTACTTGCCATTCAGGTAATTATCTGTTTTAAGGAAAACCTCTCTAAGTCTACTTTCTCCAATGGGGTTGTATTTGGCATTGAATTTATCAAATCGATGGAATGTGTTGCGATCCTATAAATAAAATAACAGAAGACTATCAGTAAGATCGAAAACCAATTAACCAAAAATGCCTTAATTACAACATTAAATTGTGGATGAATAAAGATGACTATAGAGGAGCCTTTTAAACTGATTTTGTAGCAAAGAATACCTCAAACACGATCTACGATTTAAGTCTGTGACACCAATTTCAGCACAGTGAAAACGTTCAAAAGTGGAATGTGGAAATGTGTATACTTTAAAACATTCAAAATATAATGAAACAAGTTTTCATGCACATTTCATATGGAATATGAATGAGGTAAGTATACTGTGGGAGCAAAAAATGGAGAAAAACAGAAGCACATGGTGAAAAATAATGTTGGATTGTGTCCTGTTTGAGCCTCAGGTGAAACACTTTTTCATAAAACCAACTATATGAAATCATAAAAATGCCTAATATATACATCAGGAACACAACAAATAAAATCAACCAAAAAGGGAATATCCCATTGCTTTTCCAAAATACTCCAAATTTGACTTTATTGCTTTGATAGCATAATTGTAGAAATAATGCACCACAAAGTGTGACAAAGATGAATGGAAAACTCTCAAACAAAAGAAATGAAAGAAAAAAGACAGAAGAAGTTTCTCAACAGTCCAATATGTTTTTGATTTATTTTCATCAAAAAACAGTAAAAACTGTGTGTGACATATGGGGGAGAAGAATAATATTAACTTTTATGTTTTCTTCAATACATTCTGGTACAATAATTTTCTAGCCAGCCTTGGATATTTATTAGTTAGCTAATTTGTAATAATTGGAACTGTGAGATTAAAAATTACTTTCCAACCTTAAATAAGAAGAAATACTTACTGCATGTACATCAAGCATATCTACTGTGAGATCGTATGAGGTGAGGTTCATAGACTGGAACACTTCACGTAATGTCATCTTTTCCCCCTTGCTGCATACAACAACCTCATCTGCATTGTTCTTAAGTGTCTTCTTGATGAAACGCAGCAAATGCTTTTGGTTCATGCAAGAAGCAGCATGAATATGAGTATCAACCTGAAAAAAACCATCAACATGTCATATATAAAACAAGTAAAATGTAATTTGATTAGTACAACATAAGTAAGTGAATCAGAAAGGTATTAGCTATTTCATCTGTTCCAGCAAAACAATAGTGATTCATTACTTCAATCCCTGGCGTATCAGGAGGGTGGGGGAGGGAATCATGTCCCCCTCCCAATAGGCCTAGATTTTTTTGTTTACCTTCCTATGTTTGCCAATATTTATTGAAATATTTATTTATGTTTGAATGATGAAATTATTTAAACAATAATTTGTATAATTTGTATAGTATCATATCTACAGTATGTAAATAATATACAATCTAAAATATGCAGTATGTTTTTTGACATTTTTATTAATTTTGGCCTACTGAAGGAGGATCTTTTCATCTGATTGAATTTCATTCATAAATATGATTTCAGAAAATATGTATCATTTCACACTGCTGGAAGAGATTTTGAAGATTGAAGAGTAAGATGCAAAAAATAATAATTGAACTTCACAAATAACATTCGAAAACAATTTTATTTTCTCTCAATAACTTAAACATCATTTGCAAAGTTTACACCTTTTCCTGCTCAGATTGAAATATATTTCTAAAAATATCAAAGAAGGTAATTATTTCATAATATCATGGTAAGCCACATTTTATTAAAATGAGAATGTACCTTCAATTTCAAGTAAGAGTTACTGGATTAAACAAAAGAGAGAACTCCTTCAACACCAAAACCATTTGAAATGACTTAAGAAAAGATTGAACCAGTGCAGAAATGTTTAAGACAATAATTTGATTCTTTAATAGTAATTTATTCTGATAATCTAAATTTTGATTATTTTAGTGATTCAATGAATATTTTAAAACCAATGTCTAATTTATAAGTGAAATCGTTATCAATAAGTGTCAGTAGATTTCAGGAGATAGGGAAGATTTTTTTCTTCTAAACTACGCATTTCCTTTGCTCATCGATTAGTACCATATGCATGTGAATCAGACATTCAAAAACCTCTTCACTTTTATAAGAGATCAGTAGAATGAATTGAATTTGTACTTAATAATTTGAAGACAATGCATAAACAAAGAACATTTCAATGACTACCCAAATTCACATAATGTGGAACCCCATTTGCATTTCTGTGGAACTATATTAACAAAGTATTGTTAATGTAGTTCCACATAAGATATTTTAACATACAGCTTGGTACATATCATACACCAAATTCTGGATGAAAATTAAATAGCTGGTTCATTTATGAGTATATAACTAAAGACACAAATGGCCAATGGCAGATTTTAATTAAACAACAGTTAGGATTCACTGTTGAGGGGAAAAGGCATATTAACACATGGATGAAAATTATGTAACACATTGTGTAAAATCACAACAATTTTGTTATCAATGTAATATTAAAAATAGCATAATTTAATATTTATTAAATGTATACCGAAATGTAGCTAATACAAAATTAGTAAAGATATTATATACTGAAATTAATCAAATATATAATTATGGCAGACTCACTTTACGAATGTTGTAGAAGTCTCTGTGAGGGACAGCCTTCTGTGAAGCTAGTTCTCGCAGTTCATTCAGTAAGACATGAAGTTGGAATTTTGAAGATAAATAGCTGAGGCGACGATAACAAAAGGACTTCCTACAACAAAAAAGAACATTTCTTTATATTTTGTACAAATATGATAAAAATCCGACCTTCTTTACAAGTTTAAAGAGTCATTCAAAGGCAATTAATAGCAAACACCATTTTTACCTGCACATAATAATTTGTTTTCTCAACATCTCATTTGCAAAGTACGCAGTCACCTTATTTTAGCTGATTAAGCCGTGTTATTTGGGATGTATAGTTCTACACTGCCTTTCAGTATCAAAATCTCGAAGTATGACATAAGTTGCAAAGGCGGTAAACATCACTAGTATCAATTATACCTTGATATATAGAGTCTTTAGCTTAACTCATCATCCGTGGAAACACCACCTCTTGTTTTTGCAATTTGGCGCGGTTAGCAACCCACGGCGCATGCCTTTAGATTTCGGAGTGAAAAGAGAAAGCACATATTTAGTCCATGTTAGTCTTGATTTTATTATTGTTTATTAATAATTTCCAATAATTATTGATTTACTACTGCTTTACGTTTTACTAGTATTTTTAATAATTTCATTAAGGTTTTAATTGCTTAGTAATCAGATTCAAGAACAAAAACAACAATAATAATAATAATACATTATTGTTATATATAAAGAGCTTGGCTGAAATGTTTCACGAGACATCTTTCCGATTTCTCCTACTTTCATTAAATAATAATTATTTTTATGTTGGTGTTAAAAAATTGATAGTTACAACTTCCCTCCACATTATCCTCTACTCCCTAAGTATTACACTTTTGTTTCTTGCTCAAGTCTCAGTCGCCCCCCACCCCACCCCACCCACTCTGTGCAGCGCGAAAAGCTTCCGGAGGGTGGTCCGGGTTTCTGTCCGTCTAAGCTCTTGAATGGGAAAAGCACACAAACAGGAAAGTTGCTGCCGCCTATGATCTGAATGTCGCCACTGCTGTCTCGACGAGCTATCTTGAAAGGTGGCAAAAACACTGTTGCCAAATTGCCAAAACAAGAAGAAGTGTTCTCAGACATGGGTTGCGAGTTAAGCTGAAAACCCTGTATTCGCCTACGTATTCTTGGTATCCACAGCGAATTTTTCGGGCGATCCAGAGCAATCTGAATGGGCCTGTGAAGAGAGAAATTCAAAGAAATGCCATTATAGTACGCGAGGCGAAAAAAAAAAGGAATGACAATAATTGCAGGGATTTGGTTGTTACAAAGTGCGCCGATCGACAAGGTCGCGAGGAGCCCCATCAAGTTCAGATGTGCATTTTGAGAGAGAGAAATGAAAACAACCCCATTGATAACTGTACTGCATTCTACATCAAACCACAGAATGAATGAAGAAAAACTTTTTTTTCTAACTCCCGAACTTTGAAACATTCCGGTCACTCTCACGATACTAGCTCAACGGAGATGTACAAGTTCGCAGTTCACAACTATCACCCGACCATTAAATGTTGAGAATCTCAGGTATATTCTGTTAAAGAATGTGAAAGACTAATTTCAGAACCAGAAGCCATGAACAAGAGCAGGATAGGATGAAAATCTGTGATTTCAGGAGAGAATGTTCTTGGGTGGCGGCAGCTAAAAGACTATAATTTTACACATATTTAAAAAATTCCAGGTCTGTCCTTAGTCTGTCTCACACACACATATACACACAGTGTCTTAGTCTGCTCCCCCCCTCTTCTCTCACACACCACAGTGTCTTCTGTCTGCTCTGTCTGTTTCTTCGGTTCTGTCTGGTGCTCTGTCTGTCATGTCTGTCTGTCTGTCTGTCTGTCTGTCTGTCGTCTCTCTCTCTTTCTCTCTCTCTCTCACACACACACAGTGTCTTAGTCTGTCTCACACACACGCTCCCTTTAGCTTGTCACCACTCCCTTAGCCTGTCACACTGCTCTTAGTCTGGTCACGTGTCTAAATGTAAATACCCCGACAACCCATATTAATTAAAGGTCCCTAACAGAAGAGTTTTATTTTTTCCATACCACGTCATTAAGGATTTTTCAAATGAATGGGGAAATATTGCAACCAAAAAATACGTCCGCGGCACCTACAACGTCGACATAAACGACTTCAACGCCCGTACTACCAGTGACTGTCCTCATCTATGGGTCTGTCCGTTTCTTTTTGTAGTTTTGTGTGTGGGGGGAGCGGGAAGGACTGTGTTCCTTGTTTATACAATTGCCTTTGTTTCATGTAATCTTACTATAAAATTTTTCATTAAAAAAATCACAGATTCATTCAGAAATCTAATTTTGAAGAACAGATATAGAGATTATTCAGAAAAAAAATCAACTTGTACCGTCATTTTTAACAAATTGAAAAAGTCTTTAAGACAACATATATACTACTTCCAAAAATTAAAACATCGATTTCAAATTCAAGGGGCCGCGGACATCAGCCAGATCGATTGGGGAATGTCAATTTTGGAGAAAAGCGTTAGTCGTTAGCCGCTAGCGTTGCAGACAGGCCAACGGACGTTTTACCGCATTTTTTCGACATCAATGACTTAAAAAGTGGATTATGACTATATAGTGTGTTAGAGGAAGTAATTTATTACATATAGCAGCAACAATTATCCACTCGTTTGGTATCAGGGATCAACATTACGTTTTCTGTCGAAAAACCTTTGTTTTCCCAGAAGAATTACATTCATGTCCCTTCTACGTATGTGACATGAAACGCATGACTGCCACATCTCCACAACCTGGCGATTGCCGCCCTGTCGCGCGGAAAATAGTCCAGTTTCATTAGCAACTCAAGCCCTACCACTACCGAAAGGATATCGCATGTTCTTAGACTCTGCCCCTCAAACACCCTCAAGGCCCTACTCCACTGTGTCATTGTCTCTGTTTTTCACGTCTTTTTTGTAGGTTCGCTAGAAGTCTCTGATATAGCAGTGTTGGATACGGTCGCGATCATGCGACATCTAGCGACCGAGAAAGGCTCGCAATTCAGTGGATTAATGTCGCCGTTAAGTAGGACCTTGAGGGGAAGAGTTAGATAAATCGCAGTATAGAGGCAGGTGACAATGCAGAATCAAGTATGGAAAGAGCACAAACTCTGGAGAAGATCTCGAGAAATTACAAATGAAAAATATACGAAGCAAACAATTGAAAATAATAGATTTTTTAAAGGAGAAATACATATTGAAATTTTTAATTCGTGCTCTTCATATATATATATATATATATATATATATATATATATATATATATATATATATATATTTTGTTGCATCTCTGTATTAATAAAATCAATCATTGTGGAGTAATTCTATTTAATTTTGACACCATCGGATATTGTGAACCAAAACTTTTGGTCCCTAGAAGTTTACTACAACCCGAGTCGACTGTATAGAAAACAAAATCATCTAACAATTGGTGTAGCCAGAATCCATGCTTTGTGGATCCTTGATACCGAAAAATCGATTGAGGGCAAAATATGTCCGTCTGAACAACGCTAGCGGCAATACCCTTTAGCAGATTTTCTCTAAACTTGATATTATCTTTTAGGTATAGCGGATGACGCGGCCCTTGAATTTGAAACAAATTAATTCGGCGGGGAGGGGGGATACTTTACATGAAGCTACAGATTTTTCCGCAATAAAACCTGTTCGTTAAAGATAAATTTTGAAATCAGATAATGTAAAATGCTTTCGAAAAATGAGTAGATTGGTGATATATAGATATATATATATATATATATATATATATATATATATATAATATATAATTATTATATAATATACATATTACATACACAAGGTCTTGTCCCAAAAGTAGTTGAATGATTGCACCGCCGAAGCAAGCCACTAGCAAGGGCGCAGTGGACTGTGAATAGTTGTGTGGTTTAGGGAAGCCAAGGAACAAAAAACAGCAGTTGTCTGCAGGCTCTTCCACAGTGCGCATCGCCTGCTAGTTATGAACCCTTATTGTTAGTGACGCGTCGGAATTTTAAGATTGACCACGTTTCAAGGACCAGCGGTTACGACAATAAAATTTGTGTTGCGCTCAAGAAACGGCGCTCAGACCGTTGCATGCTAAAGGAAGCTTATGGCGAGAGCACCAGTGTCCAACAATAGGTTACGGCTGGCACAAGATGTTTTCGAGAGGGCAAAGAGGACGCCGAGTGATAAAGCCCGCTCTGGACGCCCGGTCAACGTCACATTCCGATCAAAATGTTGAAGAAAGTGAGGGACATGCCTGCAACCCTTAATCGACGCCTGAGTGATAGAATGCTGGCACATGAGTGTAATATTCCTAAAAGTTAGCTGTGCATGTGCATGGTTACCGAAAGATTTGGGCATGCGAAGATCTGTGCGAAGATGCGTCCCAAAGTGCTTCTGGTGAACAGAAGGCTGCCTTGCAAGATGTCGCGTGACCTGCATGAGCAGTGTGAAAAGTGATCGCGAATTTTATTGGAAATGTGATTACGGGTACGAAACATTAGGGTTCGAGTATGACCCAGAGACCAAACGACAATGGCTGAGCACCACTGGCACACGCCAAGCTTCCTCGCGCCCAAAAAAGCTGAGAATGAGCTAGTCCCGTGTAAAGTCACTGCCTCATTCGTGTTTTTCCACAAAAGAGGCATTTCCACTCAAGTTTTCACAAGGACAAACAGGTGAAACAGTCATTTTTACTTGCAAGTTCTGAAATGGCCTCCAAAGCAGAGTTGAAACGCGTCGAGGAAGGAGATCGCCAGCACTTGGCGTTTGCACCATGGAACAACGCGCCCGCCCGCCACCACCTCCCTTCAGTATAGAGTACTTAGCGAAACGCGGTGTCAACATTGCTGCCAGCCGCCCGGTACAGCTCGTGTGGCACCACTGGACTTCTTCATGTTCCGAGGATCAAGAAGGAACTCAAGGGCCGCACATTTGGGCTTTGGAAGCCTGTCAAAGAAGCAACGACGAATCCTTGAAGGAGGTCTCGTCGACGCCTTCCGGGTGCGTTCAGCGACTGGGAAAAACGCTGGCTCAGGGTTCCGACGCAGAGGAAACTACTTTGAAGAATTTAGTTACTGTAATTTTCTGCAAAAATATTTTTGCTTGGGACTTATTTCAACTTACTTTGGGACAGACTTGTGTTATAAATATATATATATATATATATATATATATATATATATATTGGTAGTGCCGGTCTCATGTTCGTTAAAATCCCTAATTTTTTGAAAATTACGAAAATTAGTGTTTTTTCGGCGACTTTCTACAACTAAAATTATTGTTTTCTTCTTCTTCTTAATGAAATGTGTTCATCAGAAACAGATCCTCAAATAAAGTCATGTTAAATTTTTCGAAAATGTGATGTAGGAATCCGATTGCTGCCAACGCCGCCCTTATACCAACCAGCCCCAATCCTCTTTATTTAAAATACCTAGCACATTTTCAAAAGAACTGGATATGTAAAATATAATGAAGTTACATTATTTAAGTAATACATTGATGCAAAGGTACACAGAGGTACAGAGATTGAATAGATAGGAAGTTGTGAAGAAATTTAATTAGAAAATTAATGATAGAAAAAAGAACAGTTTTAACATCTACTATACTTGCTGTGCATCATACTTTTTGTTAATCTAAACTAAGTATAAATATTTGAGATGTCAGTTCTTCGGCATTTTAAAACTGAATCGGATTACTGAAGAAGCAAAAAAGAATCAAAGAAAAATGGAAGGAAAAAAGAAGGAAAAAAAAAACACCAAGGAAAGAAAGAATAAAACAATTCGTGAACACCGCTCTAACTGCAGGTTGGTGCAGCGCTACTTACAGTGGGCCGTCAGCGATCATTGCGCACAGCAGGTTCATGTCTTGGACGAAAGTGGGCAGATTGGGGTAGGGGTAGTTGAGTGCTTCGCCGCGCTCCAGGGCAGCGGCGTCGCGGTACAGCTGGAAGACGCCGGCGACGGGCCGAATGAGGTACCCGGACGCCGGCGGAAACTCGCACTCCCAGGGGTCGCCCTTGCTGGCGGGCGCGTGCACCGGGTGGTCTGCAAAGGCAACAGCGAGGGCGGCGGGGCCGCGCGTCAAAGGGCGCAAGGGGCGGCGACGCGGAGGCTCCTCACGCGCGCCCACCGCCCAGTCACCGTTTCTCCGCTGTCATCCTTTAGGAGGCGTATCTAACGCTAATAAAGCCTCCTCGCTACCCCTTTTCACGCGTTGCTTTAGTTAGTTTATTGAGCGAGTTATAGCATACCGATCTCGAGGAAGAGGAGGCCACCTTACAAGGCCCACCGAGGTACATTTGATCCACTAGTAGTATTAGTTACTGTAGTGCTACACGTTTTTTCTCGGTGACGCTTAATTTGCTCTCTGCGCTCAATGTTTATACTTTACTACTTTAGCGAAAGGATCAATTATGAATGTTTACTTTACACAAAATATATTAGAAAGAATTATTCATTTACCACCCTGAAAAAAATATTTATTACATCTCCAAAAGCAAAAACATGGGTGGCCGAAAATGTCCCTCCCTTTTCCCGATTTCGACCATTCTATCACCTGTATGGAATATTGTTATTTGAGGAGCATCCAGCCACCAGGTCAGCACGAGCCCTGCCACTAGCAGAGGCAGAAAGCAATCTCTCCAAGAGCACGAAGACACCGCAAGAGATAGTTACTCAAGGAATATTTTATGTAAACTACTTTTGAACTCTGAAATGTGTTTCAAATCTTTTAGTTTTCAGAAAACTTAACATTTTTTTTCTTCACATCGTATTCTGTTCATGGTATCTCGGATGAAGAGTTTGCTCAACGCAAGTGCATTTGCGCAGTTTGCCTCATGGAGTGGCCGGGTCGGCGTTGTTTCGAACAAAGCAAGAGACACACACAGACACACGCATTTCGCCGGGTGAGACGCACACGCGTGCCCGCAGCCCACACGCCCAAGCGTGCGCAAGCGCGCTACGCCCTCTACTGCCGCGCTACGCAGCTCTACAGTGTCGGCCGCTGCAGATGCTGCTAGATGCTGCAAGCCCACACAATGTGAAGCACAAGTAAAGAGACAAAATAAGAGACAGTGAGCAGTGAGTGAGGCGAGGGAGGCGGCGCGGGCCGAGCGAGTCGGTGCTGACCAGTACCTGGCCGGGCCTGGCTACAGGGACCGGCGGGGGATCCTTCGGGGCCGCTGGCGGTGCCTGCCTCAGAACAGAACGAACAGCAGTCAGAGAGGTGCTCAGATAGGAAGACCATGTGAGGAGGAAGGAAAGTCATACAAAGGATCAATCTCACGTTTAACCGCCATGCCAGGTATTTGGCACCTTGACGAAAATTTAATTTTCCTACAAACTTCGCCTTCTAAAAACAATAATTGCTATTGGTAAGTTCTCGTCGAAGAAAAAAAAATCACAATATTTCTTATTGCATGACCTATTTTGTGATTTCTTGGTCAAGGGCTTCTAATAAATATTTCCATAATAAAACAATGTTTCTAATTATTGTTCTGTAATAAATATTTGTTTACAATCGTTACTTTACTATGTACATCATACAAGGCATTGCGGTTATATTAATGTTAAGTAGATAGGAAGTAAGGTAATGGATGCGCATTTTTGCGAAGCATTTGCCACACTTTTTTAATGATGGTTAAACAAGGGGCGTAAATTGCCAAGCAAAATATTTAAATTAAGAATTTCTGACTTATTAGACGTATTATCAGTACACAATTTACCGGTTTTCGGTCCAACATTTCAAAAGTTAATTAACTCTGAAAAAAATGTTTAATTTTCAATGGCACAAAAAATGTTAATAATGATAAATATATTAAAGATGCAAAGATAAATAAATTGCTTAAATAAAATGCTATTCGTATCCATATTTCAATCAAATTTGTTGCGGAAATTACTTAGACAAATAAAGTAAAGACCAAAACCTTGGACATCCGTGTACCTTTGACATACAGTGATTTATCCACATCCCCTCCCCCACGCGGTCTCCCGAAACGACACCCCCTCCCCCACACGTCTCCCGAAACGACACCCCCTCCCCCACACGTCTCCCGAAACGACACCCCCTCCACCACGTCTCCCGGAACTGACACCCCCTACCCCACAATGGTTCTTCCGAAACGACACCCGTTCCCCGCACACAGTGTTACCCCCGAAGAACTATACCCCTACAGATGTTCTCTCGAAACAGCACCCCCCTCCACACGCTTCTCCTGAAACAACACCCCTTCCCCACACGTTTCCAACTCCCTCCAACATTCCCAGTGTATTGGTTCCCGCAGCAGAGCCGCCATCGCAGAAATGCGGCATACTGCCAGAACTATGAGTTCCGATTTAGACCTTTTGCCCCTATCACGCCTACAGAAGTTCAGACTTCCCCAGAAATATTTTCTCTTGACGTAGCATTGCCTATATTTTCTTAAAAGACTAGTTTACGTGCTACCCCAACATAGAGAAAACGTACGCTTTCCCTTGCCTGGCTTTGAGTAGAAGCATGCCATCAATTTCTATATCCAGGTCGTGCACTGGCTCGGTGATCTTTTGAAAGTTTTTTTTTTCGATTTTTTCATTACATTCAGACAAACAGGACGAGGGCTTGTCGGCCATCTGGTGTATATAATGCGTGGCAGGAACTGCAGGAAATTTGGGCGCGTGGTACCGGGCCAATACAAACATATGGAGCATCTGTAATAAGGAATTAATTAGGATCAAACATTAAACACGTTTGACGATTGCCTTCCCGCATATTTTGGCAGACCATAACACGAAAATGTATCAATTATTAATGTAATACGTAATATTTCATAATTCACTCGTACAAACAAATATTACTACTGTTAATATTCATACCAGTATTTAGCCAGCATGTACACGAGGCAGATTCACCTTGAATTGCCATTTTAAAGGAATGTAGGGTAGAGCAACCACAGTGACACTTTAGAAGGCAACCGCAATATATTTTATGCAACGTTATAATGTTTATTTTTAACAAACAGATAAATTCATAATGTGACCAATTAATTACATATGTGTACGATTTATGAGGTTGGCTATGAAAAGCTAGTTGAACATTATGGCTTTTACATTTTATAAAATGATGAAACTAAAATAAGGGCAGATAATATAGTGATGGGCCAATTTCAAAGACTATCGGGTGCGTAATATAGTGATGAGCACTCAGAAACCATTAAATGTTTATAAGACGCGCCAACAAAGGGTCAAATAGCATTGTTGAAGCACACATTACCTTGTTTATTAAACTTCAAATCATTTAATACAGTCTAAAAACATTTTACATAAAAAAAACTATTTCCTCGTCCTGAATCCACCTTTCCCTCTACAGACTCATCCGAAGGAAACAGGCTTGATTTGTAAAACACATCGTAGTTCTTCAAACGTAGGGTCTTAAAATGAATGTGTTTCCACCACTGAATCTGCTCTGAAGAAAAAACTTCCGTGGCAAATCTGGCAGGAATGAGGACTTGCTGGCTGCTTTTTTCCCATCTTGCCATCTTGCACCGTCGCTCGCTGACCAATGTCTATTTTTGTCACACCTGCTATGATTGGATGAACCTTCAATGGAAAGAATAATTATCCATCCTTCATGTAGAATTGACTTTGTTTAACTGAGTTGTTACGAATATTGCATTCAACTGCCGGAATTCCCCGCTGGCGCGGTGGATTGGGTCATCTGCCGGCGCCCCTTCCCTCCCCCCCGAACTAGACGGTCCGGACTATTGCGCCGAGCCCGTGGGGAAACGCCGAGAATGTGCCGGGTGCCTAGACAAGCGCCGGGCACGGTATCAAATGCGCCACTGGCTGGCGGCCGCGGGTCAGTGTAGAAGACGTAGTAGAAGTCAGTGGTAGTAAGGCGGGTCAGTTGAGTGGCAAGAAGCATGTCAGTCCGGGTCAGTGTGTCCGAGAAGTGGAAGCCTGTGCTGTGAAATGTACATGCCCCCGTGAAGAGTGGTGACCGGCTTGAACAGCAGTAAAGCCAGTCTGAAGTCTGCAGTGGAAGCTGAGCTGTGAAGGGTGCCATCGCCGGTAGCAGTGGTGCAGTGGGGAAACAGCAGTCAGCAGTGTGAAGTCTGCAGATGGAAGCTAAGCTGTTGAAGTGGGCATCGCCGTAAACAGCCAGTGCAGTGACCTGGGTGTGCGCAGTGAAGTGTGGTCCTGCGCAGGAATTGGGTCAAGTGGCAGTGGACGCGTGGACCAGAGCATCGGACTGGCTGATCTGTAGAAGAGAAGAACAGTATAAAATAAACTAGGTGTAAGAAGTGAACTGTGTAAATTAAATCATCAAGAGACCGAGTCCGTGTGTAAAGAAAAATAATTAATTGTAATATATCTGTAAATAGACCAAGTAGATTTTTAGTGTATGCAGTTGGTTCACGAATAAACCTTCTTTGTTAAATATTGAGTTGGTTTTTAATTCACACGAGAACGTTCACAAATTGTGTTCAGTGTGGGGTGTGTGTGTGTTATAATCAGTATAACGTGTTGGCGTGAATTGAAACCTAATGAAGAATGAATTTCACCAAAAAACCCTTACGGGAACCTGAGAGTCAAACGAGTTGAAGATGGAATTGGAAGACCAGCGGATTCTGGGACGGGATCCTAAGCGGAACGAAACAAAGTACAAGAAACGTCTTGCTAACGCGTTTACAAAGGCAGCAGGAGAGGATCCAGAGAGTTTTTCTTCGAGACGTTTTACCGATGGGTATCTCTCTCCGAGCATTTCCATGATTTCTAAAGAATCTGCGAAAAAATATGGAAGGAAACTGACACATCGGTTAGAAAGAAAATTTGACAGAAAATTGCAGAATCTTCAGAAGAAAAGGTGTAGAAACATGGAACAACAGATAAACACGCTGAATTAGTACATTGGGTTAGAGAAGAAATCGAGGAGATAACTTTTAAAGCGAACGAAGAGAAATTTGACCAAAATGGAAAGAAATTTCGAAGCGAGAAAAATTACTTAAATCACTAGAATCAAAGCAGAAGAAGAAGCAGAAAAGAAAGCAGCAGCAAGGAGAAGCAGAAGGCCAGCAGCAGAAAAACGAAGAAGACAGCAGCAGCAGCAGAAAAGAACAAGAGCCAGAAGAAGAAGAAGCAGCAGCAGCACAAAAGAAAGAAAAGCAGCACGCAGCCAGCAAAAGAAGAAGAAGCAAGCAGCAGCAGACAGCAAAGAAGAAGAGAAGCGCAGCAGCACAAAAGAAGAAGAAGAAGCAGCAGCAGCAAAAGAAGAAGAAGACAGCAGCAGCAGCAAAGAAGAAGAAAGACAGCAAGCAAGGAGAGCAGCACGCAAAAGAGAAGAAGAAGCAGCAGAGCAAAGAAGAAGAGAGCAGCAGCAAAAGAAGAGAACAGCAGAGAAAGCAGCACAAAAGAAGGAAGAAGCAGCAGCAAAAAGGAAAGAAGAAGCAGCAGCAAAAGAAGAAGAGCAGCAGCAAAAGAAGATGAAACGCGCAGCAAAAGAAGAACCAGCAGCAAAAGAGGAGGAAGCAGGAATAAAAGGAAGTTTTTAAACGAGTGGTAGAAAATAAAGGTGGCTCTCAGAAGAGGAAATGATTTTGTCTACCGAATTGAAAGGTTCCCGAATGAAAACCATGCGGGGTCGTCCATTCCAGTCTGCTGGCCGCCGTGCGCGGGAGGTATGAAAATGACGGAGACGACACCACAGGAGTTGTGAGTTGGACATGAAAATGTTCACTTTTGAGACGAGTTTATGTCTCATCATGGCGGCGAAATGATATGGCGCCGTTGTGGTGTGGCAATTGAGTGTGCAATCAGGATCCTGTTTACGATACTCCAGAAAATATTCATTAGCGCAATGTTGGTTGCCCAGAATCCTAGATATGACGCAGCGGTGTTGCTGCTGTATTCAGAAGAAAATCACCAGGAAAAGGCGAAGAATTGGAGAACCGCCGACCGGATATTGGGAATGACCTGCTTCTTCGCGACGCGAGTAAAAGATGTGTATCTTTGTAATCACAAAAAAGAAAGTCACATCGCCGACAAGGCCACTTCAGAATATCTTGGGAAAAACTATGCTTGAAATACGCCAACAAATATCCTGCATTATTTCATACTAAACGCGATCCGGGACGGATCGGCATCTAAGAGGGGGCCAATGTACGAAATATTGATCACATGCCGGAATTCGCTGCGCGCTGAATTGCGTCCATCTGCCCGGCGCCCCTTCACCCTCCCCCGAACTAGACGGTTCCGGACTAATGCGCGAGCGCTGGGGGAAACTAGTAATGTTATTGCCGGGTGCCTGGAGACAAAGCGCCGGGCAGGTATAAATTGCGCCGCTGCCGGCGGCCGCGAGTCAGTTAGTAGGAAGACGTGAGTAGAAGTCAGTGGGTAGTAAGGCCGTCAGTGAGTGGCCAGAGAAAGCAGTCAGTCCGTCATGACTCGAAGTGGAAAGCTGTGCTGTGAAATGTACATTGCGGTGAAGAGTGGTGGCAGCGGTTGAACAGACAGTAAGCAGTCTGAGTCTGCAGTGGAAGCTGAAGCCTGTGAGGGTGCATCGCGGTAAGCATGTGTGCAGTGGGGAAACAGCAGTGTCAGCAGTGTGAAGTCTGCAGTGGAAGCTGGCTGTGAAGTGGGCATCGCGGTAAACAGCAGTGCAGTGGACCCTGGTGTGCGCAGTGAAGTTGGTCTGGCGCAGAGGAATTGGGGATCAAGTGCAGTGGACCGTGGACAGAGGCATCGCCTGGCTGAATACTGTAAGAAAGAACAGTATAAAATAAATAGGGTGTAAGAAGTGAACTGTGTAAATAAATCCATCAAGAGAACGCGAGTCGTGGTGTAAAGAAAAAATTAATGTAATATATCTGTAAATAGACAAGTAGATTGTTAGTGTATGATTTGTTCACGAATAAACCTTCTTTGTTTAAATATTGAGTTGGTTTTAATTCACCACGAGGAACGTTACACGAGGTTAGCCCGATTACTTGTTTCCACTAGATGTGTTTTCTTCTTAATGATATTGAACTTTTATACTTTCTTCTCCAACAATATCGCAGAATTTTTCAAATGTCAATTCATTTGTTCTGTGCGTTGTGATTACAATGTTTTCATTATCCACATTCAATGCGATGTCATTGTAGTACATCCGTACCAGATTCGTGAAATCAATGCTCCCAGGGCTGGAGGAATCAAGGCTACAAATTCTAAAACCATTTTCCAAAGTTTCTGGCTTTATTGCGCGCAGTACCTATTCCAACACCTTTTCTAGAGAAAGCCTCAGAAGGGCACTCCCTTTTTTTGCTTTTTGGTCTGCTCTGAGAAGGCGAAACCTTTCTGTAACAACTGATGATGATGATGATGAAGGTTTAAGTGCGCTTCAACAGCTAAGGCGGTCGTATCAAATTATTTAAATAGCAATACCCACTATAGCATTGTCAGACAAAAAACATTTTTAATGCAAAGTAAAATGTGAGTAAAACTGAAAATCAAAGTGTTCAATCATTTTAAAAAAGGGGTTGACAGAAAAGACAGATACGCACTCCAAAATCCCCCATTAAAGGCCAAATAATTAGCATAATCATATTCTCGCAGATTATGCTGTAAATGTCAGTCTTGCTTGCAGAGAGAAGATTAATTTCCAGTACATGTGCAAAAGAGCTAACAAGGTGAAGCCTTCGCCGGCTATCTCTTATCTTAGAACAGTGCAGGAG